TGAGGAGAAGAAATTCCTAATGAATGCCTCCAAACCCTCCAGGGATGTAAGAAGCAACAACATTAGCCCACTTTCCTTGCAAGCCCACATAAAACATAGAGGCTATGGCTCTGCAGGGAAGTAGAATGGATAGATCTGTCTAACAAGGACAGGCAGACAGTAGAAGGTAGAAGTAAAGAACAAGATACGCTAGCGGCAATGCAATTTGTGAGAAGTCTATGCTGTCAAGAGCTTGAAGAACAACATATGGGGACAGCTTCTCCATGATGCTCTGAGAACTGGAGGGTTAATCAGAAGATTCAATGCAGCTGGTCAGCTAATCACTGAGTATTGCATGCATGGGAATTTGGGACAGCTTTTCTGATTACAAAAGCCACTGTTAATTTTCAGCAGATAATTTTACAGTAGCTTCCCAAATACCACATGGAACAAATCCAGAAAAACCATAACAAAATATTTTGTCACATAGAAAGCCTCCATCTCATATTTTTTTTCCTGCCACAACCTGCAATTCCTGGATGCAGAAGCTGCAGTCAACAGTCTGTAGATATATTTTACTTTGTTTAACACAACTTACTCAAGGATGAACACCTTTGCTAGGATTTTTACTTTAAACAACAAAGTAAATGTCATGTTGGAATATTTTACTATTTACATAGAAAATTACTAGCTAAGATGAGAATAACATTCAGATTGTATGCCTTCTGTCATCAGCAGTAACAGGAGAAGCTGGATAATCCTACAACATATCTTCAAGGTGAACAAAGGATTTTAAATCTAACGGTTGTGTATTATTGCTTATATAAACCACAGGAGTAAATAAAACAGACCTCTTTCCCTTCTTATCTCAAAAGCCAAACTTTTTGCCAACAACTATCCTACCACCTATACTTATACGTAATGCAGAAGAACTCATTAAAGAAGTTAAGGCTGGAGGCATTCTTAGAGGCATGCCCTGCTTGAGTTTGTGATCTCAAGGAAAACGGGCCTGGCAAAGAGCAAAGTCAGGCCCCTGAACTTCCAAAGAGTGAACTTCTGGCTATTTAAAGACCTAGTGGATGAGATCCCCTGGAACACTGTCCTTAGGGACAGAGGAACTGACCAGAGCTGGCAGCTCTTTAAGGATGTTTCCTGTAGAGCACAGGAACTCTCCACCCATCTGCGTAAGAAAGTAGGCAGGGAGGGCAGACAGCCAGGATGGCTAAGCCAGGATCTGCTGGTCAGACTGAGGCGCAAGAAAGAAATACACAGTCAGGGGAAGCAAGGACACATGGCCTAGGAAGAGCACAGGGATGCTGTCTGGGTGTGCAGGGATGGGGGTAAGAAAGCCATGGCACATATGGAACTGAGCTTGGCGAAAGATGCAAAAAACAATAATAAGGAGGGATTCTCTAGGTACATTGTCCAGAAAAGAAAGGCCAAGGAAAGTGTGCCCCATCTGATAAATGAGAACTGGCAATGACAGACATGGAGAAGGCTAAGGTACTCAGCAACTTCTTGGACTCAGTCTTTGCTGCCAGTCAGGTTTCCCACATCTCTAGAATCCCTGAACCTCTGGGCGAGGTTTGGCTGGGGGAGCAAAGTCCCAGTCACTGCAAGCAATGCCGTGCATCCCAGGGTCCTGAGGGAATAGACTGATTGAGTTGGCCTCTCTCCATCCTATTTGAAAAGTCCTGGCAGTCAGGTGAAGTCCCTGGTGACTGGAAAAAGGGAAACATCACTCCCATTTTTAAAAAGGGAAGAAAGGGATCTTGGTGAAATACAGACCAGTGAGCCTCACCTCTGTGCCTGGGAAGATCATGGAAAAGACACTCCTGGAAGCAGTATCAAGGCACATGCAGGACAAGGAGGGGATCCATGACAGCCAGAATGGCTTCACTAAGGGCAAATTATGCCTGACCCACCTGGTGGCCTTTTATGATGGAGTGACTGCATCAGTTGACAAAGGAAGACTGATTGATGTCATCTACTGGGATTTCTGTAAGGCCTTTGATACAGTCCGACATGACATCCTGATCTCCAAATTGGAGAGAGATAAGTATTTGAAGGGTGGACTATACAGTGGATAAGGAATTGGCTTGAAGGCTGCACTGAGAGTGGTGGTCAATGGCTCCATGTCCAGGTGGAGTCCGGTGACAAATGGTGTCCCTCAGATCTGTCTTGGGAGCAATGTTTAATATCTTTATCAGTGGCATAGACAGTGAGAACAAGTGCACCCTTAGTAAGTTTGCAAATGACACCAAGCTGAGTGATGCAGTTGATAACAACAGAAGGAAGGGATGCCATCCAGAGGGACCTGGACAAGCTAGATAAGTTGGCCAATGTGAACCTCATAAGGTTCAACAAGGTCAAGTGCAAAGTGATGCACCTGAGTTAGGACAATCCCAGACGTGAGCACAGACTGGGAGAACTCTCTGAGAGCAGCCCTGCAGAGAAGGACTTGGGGGTTCTGGTGGACAAAAAGACTGACAGGAGCCAGTAGTGTATGTTTGCAGCCCAGAAGGCCAGCTGCATCCTTGGCTGCATCACCGGAGGGGTGGGCAGCAGGGCAGGGAGGGGATCATCCCCTTCTGCTCTGCCCTTGTGAGGCCCCACTTGGAGTGTTGCATCCAGGGCTTGGACCTCAGTGCAAGAAGGATGTGGATATGTTAGGGCAGGTCCAGAGAATGGCCACCAAGATGGTCAGAGGGTTGGAGCACCTCTCCTATGAAGACAGGCTGAGGGAGCTGGGGATGCTCAGCCTGGAGAAGAGAAGGCTCTGAGGAGACCTCATGGTGGCCTCTCAGTACTTAAAGAGGGCCTATAAAAAGATGGAGAGCAACTTTTTACCTGGGCAGATAATGATAGGACAAGGGGGAATGGCTTTAAACTGAAAGAGGGTACATTTAGATTAGATGTTAGGAGGAAACTCTTCACTCAAAGAGTGCTGAGGAACTGGAACAGGCTGCCCAGAGAAGTTGTGAATGCCCCATCCCTGGAAGTGTACAAGGCCCTGGGCAACCTGATCTAGTGGGTGACATCCCTGCCTATGGAAGGGGGGTTGGAACTAGCTGATCTTTAAGGTCCCTTCCAACACAAGCCATTCTATGATTCTACGAACTTTCTTGTAAATCTTACATGCCCTCCAACTTCTGACTCTATTCTATCACTCTGTGATTCACTCAGTCTGTGATTCACCATCCAGCAGCAGAGTCCCATGGTACCCAAGGAAGAAGAAAAAAGTTGAACTGGTGACAGTAGCCTGTTCTGGGTTTAGTGATTGCACATCAAGCCTATAAAGTTGAGTCCAAGGTCAAGACAGGAAGTCAATCAGCAACATGAGGCCAGAAGCTGCAAGATCAGAAATCAACAAAATATAGGGACTACCATTTAGCTCGGGCAAAAAAATACAAAGCAAGGACTGGGGTTAAATCATAGGGTCACAGGATAATTCAGTTTAGGAGAAACTTCAGGAGGTTGTTAGTCCAACTTATTGCTCCAAGCAGTGTCAGCTGTGAGGTCAGAGAAGGTTGCTCAAGACTGTTTCCAGTCATATCTTTGAAGCTCCTAGGGATCAAAATTTTAGTCTCTCATCCAGCCTCTGCCACTGCTGGGCTGTCACGCAGAAAAGAATTTCTATTTATATCCAGTCTGAACCTATCTTGTTTCACCATATGTCTCCCGTATATCATCATGTTCCCACACACCACTGAGAGGAGACTGGCTCTGTCTTCACAATGACCTCCCCATAGGCTCTGACATCCTCCCTCTGCCACCTCTTCTCCAGGCTGAACAAGCCCCTCTCCCTCAGCCTCTCCCCACAGGTAAGTGCTTCACCAACAACCATTGTGGTGGCACTGATGAACTTGCTCCAGCTTGTCAATAGTCTTCTTGTACTAGGGACCCCAAACTGTTTGCTGCATCTAGATGGTGTCTGATGAATACTGAGTAGGTGGGGATGACTACTTCCCTCCGTATACTGGCTGTGTTCTTGGTCATACAGCCTTGGTGGCTTTTTTCAATTTTTTGCTGCAGGGCTCTTGTGCAGCTTGCTATCTACCAAGTCTTCCTTTCCCGGTCCTCTCCACAGAGCTTCCCCAAACCTGATATACTGTCATGGTTCCGCTCAAGTAGGCAGCCGAGCTCCACCACAGCCGCTCTCTCACTCCCCCTCCTCAAAGAGGAATGGGGAGAAAATATGTGAAAAGGGCTCAAGGATTGAGATAAGGACGAGAAAATCATGCAATAATTATTGTAACGGGCAAAACAGACTCAGCATAAGAAGACAGATAGTAAGATTTATTGCTCATTACTAACAAGCTAGAGAAGTGAGAAACAAAGAAAAAAAATAAAAGCACCTTCCCTCCCATCCACCCTCTTCCACCTCCTCCCCCCGAGCGGCGCAGGGGAATGGGGGAATGGGGGTTATGGTCAGTCTACAGCACTTCTTCTCTGCCGCTCCTTCTCGGTCACTCTCATCACTGCAGTCCTTGACGAACTGATCCGGCGTGGGCTTCCCACAGGCAGCAGCTCTTCCAGAGCTGCTCCAGATATGGGTCCGTACCACGGGGTCCATCCCTCAGGAGAAAACTGCTCCAACCTGGCTCCCCCACGGGCAGCAGCTCCTGCCAGGTCACCTGCTCCTGCGTGGGCTCCTCTCCACAGGCTACAGGTCCGGCCCGAAATCTGCTCCGGCAGGGGTCTTCCACAGGCGGCAGCCTCCGTCGGTGCAGGGCCACCTGCTCCACCGTGGCCTCCTCCACGGGCTGCAGCGTGGAACCCTGCTCCACTGTGGTACTCCATGGTCTGCAGGGGTCATCCTGCTTCACCATGGTCCTCACCACAGGCCGCAGGGGACTTCTGCTCCGGCGCCTGGAGCACCTCTCCCCCTCCTTCTACACTGACCTTGGCACCTGCAAGGCTGTTTCTCACTCCCTTGACTCTCCCGGCTGCTGTGTGGCGCAGCATTTTTTTTCCCTGTCTTAAATATGCTCTCACAGAGGCGCAAAACAACATCGCTTATTGGCTCAGATCTGGAAAACAATGGGGCCCTTCCCAAACATGCGGCGGCTTCTAGATCTTTCTCACAGAAACCACCCCTATGGCTCCCTGCTACCAAAACCTTGCCATGTAAACCCACTACATATACCCAGCTTACATCTCTGCAAGTATTTTGTTTGTTTGTTGACTGGTTTTTGTCATTGTTGTTGTTGTATATTTGATGGTTAGTTGTTTGTTTGTTGTTGTTGTTGTTTTGCAATTGCAGGGCTTTGTATTTGTCCCAATAAAATTTCATGAATTTTTTCAGCCAATTCCTCCAGACTGTCTGGGTTTATCCGGTTGGCAGCTCTGCCCTTGACTGTATCTACTGGTGCCCCCCAGTCTGGTGTCATCTGCAGATTTGATGAGTTCATCACCTCCTCTAGGTCACTAATAAAGATGTTACAGAGGTCAGGTCTCAGGAAGAGGATTGATCTCACTGCAGATCTGGTGGTGCAGAGAAGAGCCACTCAGGTCAAGGAACTCTGAGTATCTGTTTTAGACGATCCCCAGCTTGGAGAGATCAGGAACTGACTGACAACCAAATGACAGCAAAGGAATTAAAACAGGGAAAAAGTAAAAGAAAAAAAAATAAGGAAAGGAAAGGGAAAAAAAGGGAGGGAGGGGGGGAATGCAAAGAAGGAACAGCAGTCAAGAGAGAAGAGTTTAAACTTAAAAGTGATAAGAGGTCATAAATAAAGCAGCAGAGTACTTGAAGAGATAGTCAGCCAGGACAAAGAAAACCACTCAGCTTGCCCAGGGCTTTTTGCACTGTGCCTGATTCAGTTTGCTTTAACTGAGTTCATGTTTGTCCATCACCATGGCTTAAAGGTAGATACAATTGCAAAGCAGAATTTCTTAAATATTCCTGAAAACTGTTGATTTTCATTTGAAGGTCACCATCTGAACATAAAGAAAGTAGTGTAACAGTAAAAGACTTCTAAACATAAAAATAATTATTTTGTATATTCCACTGCATGTATGCACGTGAAGGCTGACAGAAGAGTAGGAGAAAATTCTCCACTGGTCCCAGGTCCATATGAGCCTTTATTTCATTGACTTTATAGAAGTCTAAGTTGGGGTAAGCTCATCATTTGTGACTCCTTTTACAGTCAATAGACAGGAATCAGTACATCCAGAGAGTGATTTATTAGAGCAGTCTTAAATGATGAATCTCCTTGGAGACTTCAATTTCTCTTCATTGACTATAAAGGGAAGGTCATGTGTCTAGCTTAGACTTAGATGCCTAACTCATGGCAGAAAGCAGTAATCCTTCCTCCTGTAATTACACAGACCACTGGGGACACCACCTGAATCTTGCTCAGAACTGTTGATCCTTGTGGGAACAAGAATTTTATTGCATAAGACTGTAATAGGATCTAAATCTTCCTGCCTGCTTTTTCTCATTGCCTTTGGTTGACAGACACTGTTTTAAAAGATTAAGCCATAGAGACAGTGGGAAAGAGCTTGAGGGGAGATGTTGCTGTGCAAGCAGTGAATTTAGAAAATTAGCAACACAGATCTCACTAAGGTGAAAAAAAAAATGTATCTGTTTCTTTACACCATTGCACTAACCTGCTTCAGTCACAAGTTGCATCCTGTGGCTGTGGAGCATGCAGGAAGTCATAAACACTGAAATGACTTTAGAGCTGCTCCAACATGGTTTTCACTTGGTTTTGAATCTGTGTTGGAAACACCAGAGCGCAGACTATATCATGCAGGATCTGTAAGGAAACAATACACTGCCTCCTTGGGAACAGTGTGATTCCCAGGGGTCTGTGAGAGGCATGTGCCCAGGAGATCCAAATGTGGCATTAAATCCCAGTCTTAGAGCAAGGTTTGACCACCTAAACAGAAGTGCCTAAATGCCACAGCACCTCCAGTTACTCCAGAAGAACATGTGCCTTTCATAAGCTATGCATCACATCAGCCCCATATGGGCACTTCAGATGGCATTAGGCACCTCTTGTAAATTGAGTTGTTTGTTGCAGGCCAACAGAATAACTTCCAGCCCCAGATTACACATCAGCAAAGTGCCAGTTCTGGTATGCATCGCTCAACAAGTGACATATGCTATGTGAACAGCCTGGCACCTCTTCTCACATGTGCACAAAGGTGAACCATTTTAACAGGGAGCTGCAACAGCTGCAATGGTTGTACTCTGGCAAGATTACTTTCTGTACTCTGCACTAGGTGCTCTTCGCACTTCCATATGCAGTATCACAGGGGAGAGGGAAGCATTTGTCCCATCTCATTTCAGAAAACACCAGTACAAATCTGATACAAATATGAATTGTTCACTGGAGAGAAATGGATATTATTTGGGCACAGTTTAGCTGACACATTTTAAATATATTCTTTAAAATGACATCATGCGAACATCAATCAAGATCCAGTCCCACCATTAAAGAACACCAGGTGGTAAGAATCTCAGCAGGAAGGCTGCCAAGTACATTGTCCATCTCTTGTGGAAATTGATAAAGTTGCTCAGAGAAACTCAGTTTGGAAAGTCTTTAGCAGATAATCTTGCCTATACTTCTGCCTCTGCTGGATTGTCCTACTAAGCAGGTCTATCTGCCTCTGTCTCACTGAAATGTTTTTACTCAGGTTTTTCAAGTAACACAGTATGAGGATGACAACTTTTGATGAAGTAATCTGAGAGACAAAAAGATGTGTAATATGTATATGTGTGAACCTGTCCATGTGTCTTCCCCACCACGTCAGTCATGCCCCATCACTCTGCAATGGTCCCAAGTTACCGGACTTTCTTCATTTCCATAGGAAAATTATCTTAACATTTATTACTTAAAAAGTTCAATCAATAGTTATTATGTACCTAGCCTATATTTTATTTCCATAAGAAATTAAGATGTAAAGAAGAAGAAGAAAAAAAAAAAAAAGGCAAAAATGTGTAGAGGCATACAAGAAAGAAAGAGCTTATGGCATATGCATGAGCTTAAAACTTCAAGAAAAAAAAAGTTAAATTAATGAAGGTAGTTCGCAGTTTAAAATTAATTATTTTTGCATTTCTTTTTCTCAGAGGTTCCTCTTCAATATTCCAAATATAAATGGTGGTGGGATTATTTAGAAGTGGAGTACATTATAACTAAGGCCTATAGCAACCTCACTCAGCAGTGAAATTTGTTGTCTCCCTCTGATCCTCAGATTATGGAGATGAGGGGATGAATGTACATCAGTAAGATTCCCTACCGAGATAGCTTTTCACTCTTTTCAGTAAGAAAAAGATCAAAGGCAAAATAGCTAATTAACATACCAAAGGAGACAAAACCCCTAGAGCTTTATCGTTGTTGCAATCCAATAATAAACAGCCAAGTACAAAAAAGATTATTTGATAGTGACACACAGAATTGAAAGCCTTTGAAATGTCAGCTTCTCAAAAAAAAATATTTTTGGAAGGAAAAAATATCCATAATTATACAGAATAGTGCCTAAGCATTCGGGAGTAACTCTTCATTCCTGTGAGAGCTTGCTTGTAAAACTACTTTGCTTAAGAACAACAGCTTGGTTTGCCTTTATCTAAAGTAAAATGGAAAGAAAAAGAAAAAAAAAGAAAGAAAAAAATACAAAAACCTTCACATCCCTTCCTGAGTAAACAGTTGATTCTTTTATAAATTAAAAATTAAGTACTGTTGTTCTTGTTCTATGAGAAAATATCGTCAGTCCCCATTCCCAGACCAGCTTCCAGCTTTAACAGACTTGGGAACAGTGGGAGACCAAGGTTTTAAACTATGCCTGTCTGTTGTGGCTAACGTCTATGCCATGTTACAAGTTCTAGGTGCTTTTATAAAGCCAGAAACAAAAAAACAAAATCATGTAGCAGTAACTTGTATGAAACTCAAATCAACTGTTCAGACAACATAGATACACCAATACTAGTAAAAGAAAGTGGACTAGGGTAATGAGACCAAGAATATTAAACTGTCTAAGCAGTTTCTCTGGCACACTTTTGTCTCAGAGTAGCTTTTGTTTCACATCGCTGTTATGAGATTAACACCACTCTGAGGCCATTCCCAGCAGATAGCTGGCACAGCCCGCCTGGTTTCAAGGGTAGTTGTAGATGTATGGGTGCAAAGTGTGACATTCACAGGGCCAAAGGATGGTCACTGTTCTGTTCCATTTACAAGTGCAGATGTAACCAATCACTCTGTGTTAGAGAAATACTTACTTCCTGGGACATCAGAGTTTTGAGTAAGGAAAGCTGGGAAACATTGTAGTGAATGGCTCCTTGGGAAACAGCACAAAACATTGCACTTTTATCCTACCAGAGGCAGGTTTGCATATTTGAAAATTCTTGCATAATAGAGATGATTTAGAAGACTAGTTCTTGCATGGATACTAGTAAAGAATATTCAGGAATCTGTTTGAAAATGTCCCATGGGATAAGGCAAGGAAGAGACATCCAAGAAAGTTGATTGCTATTCAAGAATCACATCCTCCAATCTCAAGAGCAGTCTATCCCAGGAAGTCCAGTGAGGATGAAAAGGGAGATCCTAGCAAAATTCAAGCATAAAAAAAGAAAGTATACAGAAGTTAGAAGCAGGAATGGGAGAAATACAGAGCCCAAGCCTGCAGTTAGGAAAGCCAAAGCCCAAATGGAATTGAATCTGGTGAGGTATGCCAAAGACAACAAGAAGAACATAAGTGACAAAAGGGAGAGTAGGCAAAATGTGGGTGTGCTGCTGAATGAGTCAGAGACCCTGGTGACACAGGACATGGAAAAGGCTGAGGTACTGAATGCCTTATTTTATTCTGTCTTTACTAGCAAGACTGGCCTTAAAGAATGATAGGTCCCAGAGATGAGGGGGAAAGGCTAGAGCAAGGAAGATATACCCTTCGTGGAAGAGCACCAGGGCAGGGAATGTTAAAGCAAACTGGACATACATTCCATGGACATTAATGGGATTCACCCACGAGTACTGGAGGAGCTGGCTGATATCATTGCGAGGCCACACTCAATTATCTTTAAACGATTATGGCAACTGGAAGAGTTGCCTGAGGACTAGAAGAAAGCATATGTCACTTCTATCTCTAAAAAGAACAAGCAAGATGGTCCAGTGAACTGCAAGCAGTCAGCTTCACCTTGATCCCTGGGAAGCTGATGAAGCAACTAACCCTGGAAACCATTTCCAGGCACATGAATGAGAGGAAGAGGATCAGGAGTAGCCATCATGGGTTCATCAAAGGGAAGACATGTTTGACCAGCCTGATAATCTTCTATGAAGAAGTGACTGGCCCATTTAGACAGGGGAAGAGCAATGGATATTGTCCACACAGACTTCAGTAAGGTTTTTGACAACATGTGTCATAAGATCCTCATAGAGAAGCTGAGGATGTATGGGGTGGATGAGCATACAGTGAGGTGGATTGGAAACTGGCTAAATGGCCAGGCCCAGAAGGTGGTGATCAGTGGCACAAAATCTAGTCAGTAACTAGTGGTGTGCTTCAGAGTCAGTACTGGATCCAGTCCTGTTCAACATACTCATTAACGATCCGTGGATGTTGGGGCAGAGTATACCCTCAGCCAGTTTGCAGATGACACGAAGCTGGCTGTTATATCAGAGGGTTGTGGACCTGAACAGGCCAGAGAAATTGGCTGACAGGAAGGTCATGAAGTTCAACAAAGGGAAAGTCCTGCACCTGGAGAGGAACAACCCCAGGTACCAGTACATGCTGGGGGCCACCCAGCTGGAAAGCACAAGGTCCTGTTTCAACCAAATTGAACATGAGCCAGCAATGTGCCCTTGCCACAGTGAAGGCTAATGGTATCCTGGTATGCACTGGGAAAAGCATTGCCAGTAGATCAAGAGAGGTGATCCTTTTCCTCTGCTCAGCTCTGCTGAGGCCACAACTGAAAGTACTGTGTCCAGTTCTGGGTTCCCCAGTACAAGAGGGACATTGTACCACTGGAGAGAGTCTGTCAGAGGTCCACAAAGATGAGTAAAAGGCTGAAGCATCTTTCTGATGAGGAAAGGCTGAGAGAGCTGGGACAGTTCAGCCTGGAGAAGAGAAGCACCAGGGGAAAGCTCATCATTGTATATAAAGTTCTGAAGGAAGGATGCAAAGGCGACAAAGCCAGGCTCTTTTCAGTGTTGCTCAGAGACAGGACAAGAGGCAAAGGGCACAAACTGAAACACAAGAGGCTCCATCTAAACACCAGGGAACACTTTTTTACTGTGCAGGTGACAGAGCACTGGAACAGGTTGCTTAGAGAGGTTATGGATTCTCCCTCCTCGGAGATCTTCAGAAGATGCCTGGACATGGTCCTGGGCAACAGTGTCTAGATGTCCCTGCTTGAGCAGTGGGCTTCAACTAGATAACTTCCAGAGGTTCCCGACAACCTCAACCATTCTGTTACATCTTTTCACATCAAAAGTATTTTTGCTTTGTTAGGGCTATCATTACTGTAGGAGAAAATTGAATTTCTGTTGCTTTTACTCCACCTACACTCTGAATAAAGACAGTTTCAGAGGCCCAGTCTTCCACTGTGCCAAGCTTATCACAGCAGCTAATACATACAGCAATATCTTTCCATTCCGAAGACACAATTATGACCAATAAATCCCCAAAAGATGTTTAGGATGTGGCAATTCATGGAATACATTGTGGCTTAGAAAGACCTAAGTGGTTCCTCAGTCCAGGGCATTCTGGCCTGAAGAACCATTGGTAACCACATAAAGATATGGTCAGCAGGATTGATGCTGTTGCTGTTCTGATTTACATGTCAAAAGGGTCCAAATTACACACCACTGAGCTTGTCCTGACAGGTCTGGCAGCAAAAGACTTTGCTGCTTTTTTCCCCACTAATGGCAAATCAAAGCATGTAGCATAATTTTCCCAGAAATTCCCAAGCTACCAGAAATCCATTCTCTTCTTCAAGAAGAAAAGCTTTATTATGTAATCTACGTGAGTGATAAACCCAAACTGATCCATAACTACAAGCTGTGTCTCACAACTACCCTCCAGGTATGGCTGAGTGGTAATCCACTTTACAAAGTCAGTCAAGAAAGAATTGAGGAGAAACCTTGTACTCACCTAATAAACAAAATACGTCTATGGATTTCTTGTAGAATCTGTGTTTTGGACAGACAGTGGACTTGTCTTTACTCTTCCAGAGTTAGTATTTTCAGTGTGAGTGAGAAAAAGCAAGTAGCCAAATTTAGTCTCTGTTGTACTTCTGTTTCAAAAGGACTTCAAAAGACTCTCAGAACACCTGCAGGACAGCAAAAAAATATAACAATATTGGGTCAGGTGTCTCAAGTCACACAATTGTCACATTTGAAAGTACTTTAGCAAAAGTGGAAACAAATATATATAGTAGAATGGAAGAAATATTGTGCCACACTGACTCCTTGGCAAGCTACCAAAAGATAAAAGTCTTCCAATGAATCAATATAAAAAGTCTTTTATAAAGCATAATATTTGCTTTAGCTACAAGACACAATTTTTATGTCCTTTATCTTTTCACTCTAAACCATTAGAGAATTTACCAATACCAAGTGTATGTTTTCTTGTCTGACTAGTCTCATCCCTTGTCTCATATTTTCCTAAATGTAATTCTTTCTCAGTCATTAATCACTAGAACTAGGCTGATATTTAAGAAAAAAAAAAAAAAAAAAAAACAAAAAAAAACATATTCTTGTAGATGGTTAAATGAATTCACTTTAGTTCTTGTTGCATTTACTTTCTCTGATTATTATAAGGAAAATGTTTCCAGGGAAGGGAGAGAAGAGAGAAATGTTAAGACAGGCAACTATCTGTGAGTATCAGAAAACAATCACAGAAATCAAATTAGAACAGAATATAGACGAGTATGTTGTGACACACTGGTACAAATATTCGTCTATATTCTGTTTTAATTTGATTTCTGTGATTGTTTTCTGATATTCATAGATCAGTCAAAACTATTCACATTATGAATAACAAACACACAAAGACTTGCTTATGAAATGGAGAATTATTTCCATAAATTAATTGGGAACAGATTTCCTCACCAGATTTCCTCACGTCTATTCACACACAGCAGCAGCTTGTTCCATAGACAGGTTTTTCTTGCTTCACTATGAGTAACCAGGAAAGAATTTGACCCTTAACAAACGATTTTGAATAACGAATATGTTTTTTAAATATTTCAATCTGCTTCTGGGAAAACTCATCAGCAGAGCAGCAGGCAAAATTTGCTGTCTTTATTACTTTTTATTATTTAGCCATCTACTCTAGCTGTTTCTCCAGACCTCACCCTTTAAATGTCCCCACCCTCCCCTCTTTAATTTCAGCGGTTGTAGTAGACATTTTTGTAAAAACCTCCTGTTGGTAACATTCATTACACGTTAGTCTGCAAAGTTATGAAGTAAAGAATGCTTGGAATGAAAATGAGGAAAATAATTCCTACAGAGGAAATGCAGTGGTAATAATTATCAACTACACTTAGTTTTCACTGTTTGATTATGATTCTCAGCCAGCTCCCATAATTTCTTATTCAGAGGCAATTGTGGCAGCGGAAAAAGGAATAGGCTTTTTAAGGTCTTTGTGAGGCTCACTCAGTTCCTTTTTATGTTAGACTTATCCACACAAAAAGATACACTAAAAGAATATTGCTCAGATTGCAAAGTCAAACACTCCAGCACTAGTAAATGCCAAAATTAAGATTTCCTGAAAACATTAATTCAGTCCCTTATGCATATGCATTGTGCCACAGTCTTTAATTACTTGATGACATACTATTTTTCCACCCAGTTCTTGCCTCATTCTGTGTTCATGCTGGATGGTGCTCGCTTAATGAGTAAGCTATTCAGCATTTTCTTTTATCCTCCACATTCAGTGTGTGGCCCCAATGCTTTATTTACGGTACACTATTCAAACCCTGCTATGAAGACAGAATTAATTTTCTCATGGGCTTTTCTATGGCTGTCATCACTATCATATCTTAAATATTCATTAGGCCAGAGAGAGGGAAATGTTGTAGCTTGGTGGTTGGAAGACTCACCTGGGAGGCTTGCTCTGATGCAGCCTCTGCTCCAATGAATACTTAAATAGCCTGTATCAAACAGAGCAGCTTTGAGAGAGAAGATGCTAACCGGCCAGTACCTACAGATTCCTGATTACAACATTCATCAAAGAGGTGGGTAGCTTAGGTTGAGGACTTCACAGATCAGGCAAAATCTGGCCCCTGACCTCCAGATGATTAACTATCATGTATCAGACTGCTGCTTTCTTTTCCAGTGAAAAGCTACTGGGGATAAGGGACTTAGCTATAGGAGGTGGTTTATCACTGTGTGATGGAGAGAAAAACTGGCTTCCCTCCATTTGGAAACACCTCCTAATGGTTCTCTTAGGGAGCTTCTCACCAAACTATCTGACTTCAGCTTCCTTTGTTGGATATCCATTTTTTTCCATGCTCTGTGTTGGTGCTCAGATTATAAGGCTGTAAGTCAAAACCACATTGCCCAACAAAGGATATAAGCATGTCCTAGTCCACAAGGAACCTAAAACAGGCTAATTCTTTTGCCTCATGTTTCCTAGTAGTCTTCTTATATAGTGTTCCACTGGCACCTGTGGCAGAAAAGCTCTGCTCCAAGCAGCTCTGCACCCGTCTCTTTCTAAACGTAGAGAAGCTGGAGTTTGAAGCCCAGTCTTCAGAAAGCAAGGAACCAAAGTAGGCTCTAGCATCCCAATGCTACCCACCTCCTTTGCTTAATCATACCTCTGCTGAATCAATGGCAGAATTTTGAGAGGAGGAATGAATAACGTCACTCAAAAGCACTTAATCTCCTGGCTAGGGTAACTTCCTGCTAAGTTTAGTACAGGGTCACAAACTGCAGGGTTTTTTTTTAAGCTGGGAGGTATATTCGCAACTTGTTAGACTGTCTGTGGTTGAATGCAGCTGTCTTTGACTTTGAAATTTATTCTCAGCTATGACAGCAGTAAACATCAGGTTTTGCAAAACAAGAGTCAACCTCCACCCACTTTAATTTAATTTCTTTCTAACTCAGATAAAACTTGATTATATAATGCCTGCCTTCTTCAAAGTCTCTTGCTTGTTTAAGGACTTGGTTTCTTAATTGCTGGGGGTTCAAATATTAGAAGTAATACTTTTTTTTTTTTTTCTGATGCCAAAGATTTCTCATAAGCAGGTTTCTGTTAGTCGTTTGTTTGTTTGTTTTTTAAAAAAAAAAAAATCTCCTATATCTGTCTGCACTCTGTATAAAACATTCTTGTGGATTTCAGAGGAATTTTCATAGGATTTTTCCCCTTTCCTTTTAAATCATCTACTTCAGAATCTCAACTTATTTTTTAATCATTGGAAGACATATAATTTGTCATAGAAACACAAGCTTTCTCACATACAATACACTCCAATTTGAATTTAAATGAACATTGATGGAGACAAAAATGATCTAAAATTCCATCTTTCTTCTGGGAATGTATTTGAAAGATTACAAACATCTGAAAAAAAAAAAAAAGTCTCCAAAATTAGCTATAAACACAAAAGCAATCATTGACTCATTTCACCTTAGCCTCCCAGGTAGCAATGAGGTGACAATAACATATAATCACCATTGCCTAAGGTCAGATTTTAACTCATGTCCTTAACCCTTCAAAGTTTATACCAATCTTTTGAACTATCTAGATGGTTTAATAGGCTCTTTTATTCACCCACATTTAATTACTTGTCTCACATAAATATTTGGTTTTGATTCATTAGAATACTTACTCTGTGCTCATGAAGCACTAGTCAATGCATAAAACCCTTAGTGAGGATTACAATCATTAAATAATCTCTTGCAAGCTCACCATAATTTTCATCTGTGGGTCCCGTTTCCTTTAACAGGCCAAGGGCCAGCATCAGTGAAGGATGAAGTTACAGACTACACAGACCTGAAAACCAGAAAGCCCAATTATTGTAACTTTGCCACTGAAGGGCATCTGGGAATTGCTACTGATTAGCAGCTAGACAATAGCCTAACAAGCAGTATGTCTGCATTTCATCAGAGGGCTCCAGAAAACATATGTGGTATTGTATAAATAGTGTGTAGGGACCAGAAAACAACCAAATATAGCACTCAAAGATACATAGCTTGAACTGAACACATGGTGATGGTAATGATTGGCACCCAAGTGCATGCTGAGCACAGGCCTAAAGTAACGAACCAATTACAAAAATCATGATAGAGGCATGGGAAAAGATCATTAGGAAAACACGTCATGATGTATAATGAAGTAATTACTTGTATACAAAAGTGAGTTGTATCTGACTTTTTGTATGCATACTGTGGGATCCATCATGTGCTGCTCCACCAAGAGTAGAAAGTGTTGTGCTTCTTACTTGCCCCATGACCTCAGTAAAGGGACCTGTGTTACGTCTCCAGTGCTACATCAAACTGCAGCAGAGTCTTCATGGTAACTGCAGAAAATACCAAGGTTGAAACAGGTGAATGTGGCCTATGGGTAAGACTATTTACTCTGAACAGCCTCCATTGTCTTGGGGTCTCTGAATTGAATGCCTTGAAGCATAGGAGAGCCAGCTGGAACCAGACAAAAAAAAAAAAAAAAAGGCAGCCTTCTAAACAGTCTAATTTACCTTTGTTTCCCCCATACATGGCTGTGTTGAGAATGAGAACCATGAGGTTTTTCTAAGTCATGCTTATTGTCACCATGACTTATTCTTAGTTACTGGAAAAATGGAAACCATTTCATTATGGGTATAAGGACATCTGAAGTATCTACGTGAAAACTGCAATCAGAAAAATAACTAAAAAAATAACCAAAAATGGATATTTTCATTTACAAAGTGCCTGGAGTTAGACAACAGCTACATCCAGCTGATGGGTACCTCTCCTTCTTTCCACATCCTCCTTTCATCACTAGCAGCCACAGATGTCTTCTGCACAGCCCTGCCCAGAGGTCCTCATCACCTCCTCCAGCCCTGCTGCCATCACCATGAGGCAGATGGGTCTGCACACATGAGCAGTGAGAAACAAGAAAGCCTGTGGAGAGAGATAGGAAAAAAAAAAATGAATCCCCTCACTAGCTTCACGGACAGCAGCAGCAGTCAATAGGAAATGATTATTTGTCTCCCCTCCATCTTCTCAAAGACTGGTTACCTGCTCATGTCACCCTCATATCTCTAGCAAGACTCACACAGGTTGCAGAGTGAGGATGGGACTGACTCCTGGAACCTTTTCCAGTTGTCTCCCCTTGCGCTCTGGTGCAGTCCTAAGTACCTGAGAGGTCACTGCCTCCATACAGCATGGAAACAACCCTTCAGGGGATTTCATAAGGCAAAGAATTCAGCATAGACACTAATGTCAGTACTTCATCTGCCATCCTTAGAATGCCCTAATTCTGGAATATAGACTTGTCATGGTGCTGGGTAAGTGTCACAGAGAGAGGAATTTCTTCAACCTGCAGAGTTCAGAAATAAATTAAACTTTTGTGCAGGGTAGAGGAGAGGAAGAGGGAAGAAAACGGGACACAAACTCTGTAACTAAGCTGGTAGGTAGTTCACCTGCATCTAGAAGCATTTCTGGGTTATGGTCTGTTCTCAGGACTATTTCATTCTTCATTTACATCCAGAGTATGGTTAAATGGTGTTTATTCACAAACATCATCAGACATTATTCCTTATAATCAGCAACTCAGGTTACACTTTCCAGATCAGTGGAAGATGTGTGTTGGACTTTTTCACATAGTGAGCTCTGAAAGTGTCTCTTTCTCCAAGTGAGTAATCTAACAGCTAAATTATGTACATGTAGCTATGTAGAAAATTGGCAGAGATAGTGCATCTTCTGACTTTTTTTTTTCCCCTCAACACAAGAACGAAGTTTTTATAGCTATAGGGATTCCAGCTCACTTCATGGCAAAGTGAGCACAGGGTAATTCCCTGAAATCTGCAGCTCTGCTGTGGGAGCATGGGGAAGGACACAAGATCATTCATTTGCTTAGAGTTTCCCGACTCAGTCCATGGACAGGTTTGGACTCCAGCCCAAGGCACTTTGCTTTGCTCACACGCAGAGAAGGGAGCTTATGTATCCACCTGGGTTCTGTAAAGGACAGAATAAGGGACAAACACTTTATATCTAATAACATCTGGCTTCTCCTGTTTAAGCTGTAGTCTTTCACCATCTGATGCTAACAGATCATCCAGACTCTCTGAGAATGGAAAAGGATTATGATCATATCTGTCTACCTTTGGGGTCATGATTAGTAATGTTGCTATTTTTATTCCTTTGCTGATGTACATTTAGATATTTCACAGACACTTTTAACTTACTTTGTCAATAGTCTGTCTCCTTTTTGCTAATTTATATATATATATGGCTATGAACTTCTCTATTTTCCTTTCATTTTTATAACATCTAAACTATACTTATGTCTTCTTTTTCCATCTAGCAGAGCTTCCTTCTTGATATTGGAGGGTACTGGGTGAGAGGAGCAGAACTTCTACAGAAGTACTCAAAAATGTGTATTTTTCCTGTACAACCTTACACTGTAGATATGCCTGTGCCAAACCTTGCACCTTGCTGAACCTGACCCGTTGACTTGACTTCCTGTCTTGGCCTTGGTGCTGCCTTATCACTGCAGGTATATCTGGTGGTCCCTGGGCTCACAGACAGCCCTTGATCCCTGTCCCTGCTCTGCTGGCCTGTCATGGGACACCATGGAACTGTGCTTTTGTCAAAGAGGACACTCTGCCAACCTTTGTCCTGTCTTCTCTTCCCTGCCAAGCATCTCTGTTGCACCCTGACACTACGACATTCATGAAGCCCTTTTTCCCTAGCATGTTATTGTCTGTAACATTCAGATCCTCTGATCTGTTTTCATTTAGTAAACCTCCGCATGGGTCCAAGCAGCAAGAGTGCACAGAGCATCCCTCAGTACTGTGTGAAGAAATGCTTCATGAAGGGAATGCAGAGATGTTTCTGCCCTCGGGCACAGTGGGATTTTCACAGCAGTCAATATGCTCTAGGATGCCAGTGACTTTTCTTCAGTGGGACTTCTCAGCAAGGTCTGCTGTACTGCCAAGAGCTAGGGCTGCACCCAGAGCAGGCAGTGTGAGTAATTGATTTCTCAGGTCACTCAGCAAAGAAAACAAACCAAAAAAAGGCCTCATTTCTGACTGTTTGGAATGTCTTTCACTTCTTCACCCAAAGAGGAACTAAAAAGGAAATGAAAAATGCTTTTTCAGTGTATAGTATTCCACTCAACAGAGAATAAGAGTGCTTTGGACACAGAAAATTAGTATGAAACCCTCTGCCACTGAAGGGAGAGAGACAAATTCACAAAATTGTCATGTGACATGGATTTTCCTCTTACTCAGAGGCACAAAGGCCTGAAGCCAGGATTTGGATACAAGTCTTCTATTGCTAGCAGTAGTTGAAGCCACATCTCCTAGACCCACAGCCTGGATCGAGTTAGGATTCAGAGCTCCATTGCAACATTGCTCCATGTATTGTTAGCAGGACATCATCTTAATGTCTGCTTCATAAAGTGGAACAGTTCTAGGAAGGACATTAAACTGCACATCTTCCCTAAAATACCGCTGGTGTGGGCTGTCTAACCAGCAAGACAGTCAAGATCAAAGCCATCTTCTGACTGATTTATCATGGCCAAACAATCCAGGACCATCTGTGTCATCAAATGTGTGTCATTTGTGTCAGTCTCCTGTGAGGTTTTCCTCCAAGTCACAAGAAGAATCATCTTCTGTCCTAGCAGTTACAGCTCTTGAATGCTGGGAGGATTATATAAAAAATGTCATCTTATCTACATATTATCTATATTATCTACAAGAACAACCAGCCCAGCCCCAAGTAGCTTACCAGGAGGGACCTTCCCTGGCTGCATAAGGAAAAATTAAAATTGTTTCAGTACAGCTCAGGCACTCAGTACTATATCTCCCAGAAACTGAGCAAATGCTCTGTGACCATACTGCTGAGGAAAAGCTGTTTCTCTATTCTGCCAGATTGTCACTCTTGACCCAAATTTATGCTAACTTTAGGACAACTATCACCATATTTTCCAAGGAACTTAACTGGTAACAAAAAATAATTACCAGTTACCACCTATGATTTCTACTTTTTCCATTTGAGTAAATTATTTCAATTCTACTCCATACTTTTCCACTTTTTATGCAAACTCATACCAGTCCATGTAAAACAGACTGTAGAGATTCTTTAAAATCAGTCCTCCAACCCAAATCATTCTGACAAATTCAAAGCCAGTACTAAATATTAATAATCTAAATTAATAATATTTTGTAGCTATGTAAGTGGAATATGGATTACAGGAGAAAGACTTATCAGACATTTATGTCAGTAAAACTGTCTAGATGAGAAAGTACTCACCATCCTCTTCTTTTTTTTTGTCATCTCTTTCAGTCACCAGTCTTATCACAAGCCATCTCTTCTTATTTCCCTAATACAATGATCTCTACATCTATCTGTCATTCAGCCTTGAGTGAAGTGGCTGTTTCACTCATCTGACAGAAGTAGAGTTGGTTTGCCAAATTTCCATCACTATCACTGAGTGGCACAACTCTGGGATATTAATAAATACTTTCTTACCTAGGGCCACCCAGCATGGATTACTTTGGAGTCATCTCTTATCTTAGTGCAACAATTATAGCATTTAATAGGTTGAGGGATACAGCGTATGTAAGATTTCAGGAAATCCCTTCACAAGATTTTCATTCCTTAGTTGAGATGCAGGGCACAACTATTTAAGGATTAGCTCTTCCCTCTCCCAACACATGCCTCTTTGATGATACCACATCCTTCTAGCTTCTTCTGTAGAACAGAAATGGAGAATAGACATGCTGGGGGAATTGTTAGGCTCAGGGTCCTTTACACCTTTAAGGCAATTACATTCCAAGACAAGAGTATCTAATGTGCAGCACTTTCAGCATGTGTAATGGGTATCTTTATGAAGTCACGAAAATCTCCAGATATATTGCCTTTTTAAAGACTGTCATATGTTATAAACCTTCAGCCAAGTTTAATGCAATTTTGTAGGTTTTTTTTATGTTTTCAAAGTGGAAAATGTTTTCTCATAAAATATATGGGCATTTTTTACTCTGTAAAGAACTCTGTGAACTTTTTTTCCCCCATGGTGGGGAACTAAAGGCAGAATTTGGTAACAACCAAAGATAATTAATTTGCTGATTTGTGTGTCTTAATGTACATTCAAACAGACACTCAGCACCATACTATCTGAACATTATATTTCTGTAATGGAGGAGCATACAAAACAGTTTCCAGAAAGTAGCAACTGCCAGAGCAGTACTTCAAAGAATGAATACCATATATAAGTGTCCTTTGCATAGTACTCTGGACTGAGCAGATGATATTTGTGTCACATGAAGGGCAACTTCTTCCAGAGATGTTCCAGTGAAATTAATTCCACATGATTCATAATCAAGATGTATGGAGGAAAGCAGTTCACATATTTCTGAGCAGACGTCTCTGGCATCATTGCCTACAGAAGTAGAAGGCTGGGCATAATAACAGGCACAGAAGGTGTTGATATTCCTCTCTCTTAAATTAACCAGGCAGAGCTTGTTGAAAATATCCCATCAAAATGTATTTCTGAAGGAAAAGGTTGTGTCAGATAGACAAAAGAAAATCTATCTGTGTATATTTTTCTGCTTCTGTAGGCCAGATCTTTGACTGTACAGCTTCACATCTGCTCAGAATTGCACATTTCTCTCTCATAGGTAGAGTTTCTCAGACTCACACCTCCAGTGCCACAGTCAAATTTCTTCTTTCTTGGCACCTTAGGTATGAAGCTAAGCTTCTCACTTCCCTTATCCCTTCAAAAGTTGTTTGTTTGTTTTTTTGTTTTTGTCCAGTGTTGTTCTGCCTTTACTGACAGTCATTGAAGTTTGATATAGCTATCTTGCTATTCCTGCACTAGGAATTTCTCTGTCATGACCTCTGAACTTAATTCTAATAGTGAGAGGAAGGCAAATCAGAGAAAGGAACAAAACCATACCCCCAAAACATATTTTGTAGCTGAATACTTGTGCACGTAATGAATTCCTGGTGTCAAGCTGACTGCATTTGTGTGTAGGCGGGATGACCTCACTGTCACAAAAGCTGTTTCTATGTAAAATTATCCCTGTCTTACATGTCCCATCACTAAAAAAAATAAAATTAAATTAAAAAAAACTTTAATTTCCCTCCTCAAAATAAATCTGTTCTTGGTTACAACTTTCTTTTCTATCAGGATTTCTCATAGGAAAAAGACTTTTCTTTTGAGCTATTGTATATACGGGACTTACAAAATGATAAATAACTGTCTGGTTCACATGGTGTTAAACTGGAAATCAGAGTGAAATGCTGGAAGAGCAATGATGGAATGATATTTAGTGACCACCCCAAAAAAGATGAGCTGCTGACGGTCTTTTCTAGCAGAAATTTATAAATCTCTTTAAAGCAGACCATGTTACAGAAATCTTGCTTAGAATGACAAAGACATGAGTAAGTGTGACAAGTCCCTCATCAAAGAAAAAATGTTTCAGTCCTCTGTCCAAATAGATTTCAAAAGACACAATGAGCTACCAGTTTTGTCTGTAAATGGACACAGAGTGACAGATCAAGTATGGCTTTTAACTGATGATCATATAGTAAATAAGAAGAGAATGCCTCCACAAATAATTCAGGCACTGTTATTATCCAGCTCTTCCGATACTTCCATAACCATTTCATCTTACCTACTTTGCTCGCCCCAGTCAATCAGGCTCAGGAAAAAAAAAAAAATCATCAAAGGAATAAAAGTACAAGTAGCACTTCTATTTTCACTGCTGACATCCCTTATGGTTCATTACCTAACCTGGCAGACCACTTCAGACTCTGAATGGAACGAAACACATCTGACCTCCTAAAGTCTAAGCAGCAGAATACTTCCTTCCGAGTGAAGCAGGTGACCCAAATAAAGCACCCATATACACACATACATCTACAAAGTCCACACTGGCAGACTTTCATGGGACTCCAACCATGCTGGCTCTGCCTGGAACATGGGGAGTATGCACATCTAAACCTGCTTGCTTGGAAGCCACCCCAGCAGTACCCAACAATGTAGCACTATTCTTATTTTCTTATTGCATGGTGAAATCTCTTCCTTTTTCCAGCCCCTGACAGAAAAAGGGTGAGAAAAGAATTAACTGACTAAAGCATGGGAGAAATGGGAAGAAATGGCAGTGAAAGAGAGTAAGTGTTGAAGATAATGAAGCCACTATTAACTTCTTCTCCTGAGAACCCTGTTTCTGGTTACTAAAGGCTCAATTCAGCCACCTGAACATAAGTTTATAGTGTCACATTAGACCTTGAGGGTATCTATCTCTCCAGCTGCCACTCCAAAAGCGCTCACATCTATAAATCCTGTGGAATACGTGTTATACACCTGCAGATGTCAGGGTTACCCTAGGGTATCTAACATAGAAGAAAACTTGTGTTTAAGGTAACTGTATCATTCTTTTGTGGTATGACTCAACCTTAGACTAAGACATATAAATTTAGGACCAGGATGCCGTTGACTAAACAAAAGCACAAAGTGACATTTGAGGCAACCTACAGTATCCAGGACAGTCAGGTCCTGGATCCTAAGGCATCTCAAATAGCAGTAGATTTGAATGTTTACGTACCTCAGGTGTCTGACTGTGTCCTGTATATATCAGTTCCACATATGGTTGGTGGAGATCTTGGCTTATTTCAGTTACACACATACAAGGAGTTAAGTTTAAGGTGCCCTATAGTGTGGAAGACACATGGAGATGACAGATATGACAAAATACACACAATAGAGCAATAACTTTCCATAGTTGTACATGAGAACCAAGGAAGATATTTCTGGGAATCGAAAACATCAGTGAGTCAATGTGTGGGCACCTGAATTCACTTCCCAGCCATTGCATTCAGTGGTGCCTAGAAAGTGCTTCAGATAGTGTTGAAGTAAACACCTGCAATAGGACTATAATAAGATTATAGCTGATACCTTCTTTTAGACACCTACAGTTAGTCATCTTTAGCTGGAGCTGAATCCCATCTTACTGATCAGATAGACGTAGTCAGAACAGGCACAGGATCAAATCCATCCACCATTCAACAGCAGGTCTGCACACCTTAGTTCTGAATGGCACAAGAAACTCTGGATTACTGCAGGAGACAGTGCAGTTGGTCAGCTAGGCTTTAAGATGTCCTTATAAAGGTAAAAATAGGACATTATACTTCTAGGATCAGCTCTGTCAGAGTGGTATAGATAGAGCCACTGAAGGCCCAGTTGCTTAAATAGCTCTATACAAAACTACTAATTCAGATCATCTTAGGGACTGCATAGTGCTGACTACTTAAATGGTCTCATAGTTAACCACAGCGTGTTAAGAGTTGTTAAGGGCACCTAATGAAACAAATCATCCTGTTTCTCAGTAAAAGTGACTGGTTTACTATAATTTTTCATCTTGAACTGGTTACAAAAAATAAAAAAAATAAAAAAATAAAATAATAATAAAAAAAAAAACTGTTTATGACCCAAGTATCAGAAGGACATAGTTTACCTTCCTGTTTTTGTTTTACTGTTAAACTATATATGTTGAAAGTCACTACATGGGCAACAAATACAACAACTCTACAACACTTTCCACCATGACCTCTGTGTTCATGTGTTAAGCTTGGAGAGATAGACCGGACTAAACAGAGGATATTAGGTCTGCTTAGTTTCCGCAGGCTTCATTGAGATTCAGGTCAAATAATATGTCAGATATTTAGCCTGACTTCTTGCAATGAAGCCAGAGAATTCCACCTAGTACTTTTTGTCAAGAAGACATTACTTTTTCCATTATGGTGGTAAACGTTATTATTGTTTTGGATAGGAAAGCACTATGGCTGGTCTAGAGTTCCTACATTATTAAGATAACTACCCATGGCCAGATAAACACCATCACTCATAACATCAAATCAACAGTAGTACCATGGCTATCTAAAAGTTTTGTCTTGTTATTGCTTCTGACCTAAATTTACAAAATGTCAGAGGTTACTTTCCATCTTGCTGGATTTCACTGTTTTGGGGAATGTTAAATGTTTCAATGCTATGTGGAATTTGGGTTTCTGTAAACTCCACTGTCATTCTATCATTGCTGCCTCTGTGTCCTCCCTTTAGGTGATGGGTAGATCTATAATTTATTACATTTTGCAAATACACTGTCAGCTTACTGTCACTTGCTAGTCTACTTTTGAAACCTCTCTTTCGACAGTAGCTGACAAAGACTGGGCAACCAGACAAAGACACTCCACTTTGGGTCTAGGAAAGCTACATGTAGGAGATGTGAAAGGAAAAGACAAATTGCATTGTCCTCCTTGCTTTCTTTGGCATTAAGATAGTAATGAAAGGAAGGAATATAGAAAAGCTGGGATTAATAAACCATTTGTGATATAACTTTTGATCACCAGTTCTCAAAATCATAAGCATGAAGATAAATATACATATATCCAGATTAGAGCAATGGAAAGGAGGAAGGGAGGAAAGGAGGAAGGGAGGGAGGAAGGGAGGGAGGAAGGAAGAGAGAGAGGGAGAAAAGGAGCGAGGAAGGGAAGGAGGGAGGAAGAGTTAAACTCTGCCTATTACGACAACGTTTTAAAAAAAATAAATCAATTAAATTGTTTCAAATCTTCTGAAAATCCTGAAACATCAATACTGTCATGACAGTAGACATTTGTACTCTATGTTCATTATAAAGTGAATATATTTATTGTTTATGAAAAGAAATTATCTACCCTATTGCCTAGGCATTTTACAGTCTTCCCTGCTAACTTTATGTCTTTCAGGTCTAACCTTGATAAAAGTTGCAATTTTTTTTTATCCAGTATGTCTTTAAGCCTTGTGGTTTTGCCAGCACTGAGAAAGGCCGTTAAAAAAGAGGTGGTTAAACACAGGTTAACTAATGAGATACTGAATTTTAATACTCAAGGTAGACAAGCACTGCTTTGCATAAAATCACAGTTCAGCAGTGATTAGCTGGCACACTCTTAAACACAGCAGTGTTCATCTAAAGTAAACAAGTGGCATTATGTTAGATAGCAGGAGAAAAACACTTACACAATACAGGAGCCAAAGACCCGCTCAAAGGACTTGTGAAAATGTTACCCCCCTTGTCGGGTGCCAATCCCAACAAGCTTTTGGTCAGATTGCCAGCCAGACAGAAGCCATTTGTCCACAACGTGGGCCGACAGGACCAGGAAGGAGTCTCAATGCCCTGTTGTTTCACACAGGATTGCAAACAGCCAGTAGATGGTAGCAACTGTCGGTCACTCGTAACCTGAGCTGGATTCCTGCCGACAACCTAGTTATAAAAAACTCGGCATTTCATTATCAACTGCATGAGCATGCCATGAGAAAACTTCATTAGCCTTTGCAACTGCTAATTTTAGTTGACAGATGAAAGTGTTGTCAGAAATAACACTATAATGCACTATAATACACTATAACTCCTATATATGGAGCTTTTTAAGCTACACAGTCCATTTCAGGCAACATACAGGGGAAGAGTAACACCAGGGCAGAACTGCATCTGCAGGGTCTGTGAAAATGGTCTGAACAGATGGAAGGGTAAGGAGAGAAAGCCTGTCTTATCTATCCATAAGGCTCTGGTTTTGGAAGGAGGAAAGTTAATTGAACAGAATAGAATAAAGAACAAAGGAGTTATTACATGTATGCAAAACTTTCAAGACTAAAATCTACATCTCCATGTTTTCCAAAAACTGTCAAGTGTCTTAAATGTTAAGCGTCCTCCTTTGTGTGGAGGATATCAAAAATGCAATCATCGTGCTTATGAGAAATACATGAAAGAAGCAAATGTCTCACTGTTAGAAAAAAGAATGCAGAGATTTCTTATTAGTGGAATACTCTCTGGCCCATGGTAACGGTTACTGACAGAAAATTATTAGCTTGAAACTATAGGATGTGTCCTATAAAAAGAATTTGTAAATTTAATAACATAATTTCTGCATAAATTAAAATATTTTAATAGAATGTACTTGCTAAATAGTTGAAAAAATGCTAATTGAGGGAAACATCTGCTCTGAACAAGAGCATTTACCACAGGCAAAGTGCTTGTCTGCAGTGGTAGTTTGCATGAGGAATAACAGAATGCAAAGCCTCAAACTGTATTTTTACTCTGACAGAGAGTTTAAGGATATGGCATGTTGAGTTTGACATTCGTTGTGTCCCTGATTTCCATACCGTGTTTGCTCAGTTTTCACAGGAAAAATGGAAGGAGGTGGGAGGAGGTGGGGAGAAGACACTGCGAATGATAAGAGATGTCAATGAAATGCTTAAACTGGAATATTTGTGTTAAGCTGTACTTTTCTGGGGCCGTCTTTTCTTTGTTACCATCACTAATAAGGATCTCATAGCTATGCCTCCCAGTTTTCCTGCGAAACACCTTTGTGATGCTCACCTGCAGACTGCGAAGAAGGTACAACCTGCTTAGTGGTCCTGCAACCAGATTTGCACCAAAAAAATCTGGCATGTGATGCAAATGTAACATAAAGAGCCTCTGTCAGCCTTCCCAGGCTGGCCTGGTTTTACAGAACTGCCAAGTAACAGCGGTTTGGGACCTTTTTTTTTTTTTTCTTTTTCTTTTTTTTCTTTTTTTTTTCTTTTCCTTTTAGAAAATCATCATCTCTGTCCCTGAATAGACCCAGGGAGCAGAGCTGCTGAGTAAGAGGGCAGAGAGCTGGTGCAGATAATAGCAAAGCTCTGCCTGCCATTTTCACATCCCTGCTAAGCTGTCTTTAATAAGCATTACAATTAGCTTCTGATAGCTGCTCAGAGGCCTACACGAAGCAGGCTGGTTGTCTGAGTATGGGTCTTATTAGTGAGTTGTCTCCTCACAAAACTGCCTTCACAAGTGACACCCTTCTCAGCGGTCTCCACGGAAGCCAAGGATTGAACCCATTCAGAGACTGAACAGTTTGCAAAGCCCATTCCCTAAAGGACACAATAACAGGAAAATAATATAAAGGAGAACAAAGGCACAAGAACAGGATGACACAGAAGACCCTATGCTGATGCTAAATTGAACTTATTTGTCATAGAGGGTTTTTCGACCTCTGAACTATCAACCCAATCGTTTTCTCTCAGACTAAATATACTCATAGCTAGTTTTGGCAACAAGTAATTCCACACAAGCGTCTGCAGCTTTTAGATACAAAAGAATAGCCTCCCTTTAAAACTCCAATTTATTTTCCACACTAAAATAAAATTATGGTGTAGCTGAAAATAACAGCAGCCCACAGTTTTCAAAATACCCAGTAGAAACAATCTGGCTGGCTGACCCCTTGCCTGAGTTTCGTGATTGTAGAGTCACCAAAATCTAGTTATAATGATATTTTCTTTATTAAATTATGTGCTTCTGGCAGGTATGCCTTCTTTTTTTGTAAAGGACAAAGAGTATAATGCATGATCTCAATGCAGTTAAACATCTAAGATGTCTTTAAAATATACTTTGTGTAAAACAGAATTAATACCAAAATGAAAAATGTACCTGCACTGAATCAACGAAGTTTAAAGCAGGTTTTTTTTGTTTTTGTTTTTACTATTATTATTTAATTTCCCTTTTCATTATTATGTTATGCTGTA